AAAATAGTTTAAATAATTTATTGTTAATATAAAATAATTTATAATTTAATATATTTTTCCTCAGAATGACAGAAATTAAAATACAGAATGAATAAAATATATTTACATTTTCTAATCTTAAATTAAATTAATCTTTTCAATAAAGAATTATAAATGTGTGATCAATTTTATAAAAAAAATACACTGTATTAAGAGAAAAATTAAAATTAAAAAAAAAAAAAAAAAAAAAAACAAACAAACAAACGTTTGTCTTTATTTAGTACAGATAATATAGTCCCTTCTAACTGCAATTGAATGAATGAATAGCCTGCCAACATTTATATTTTTGAGTTTTTTAAACTGACACCCATAAAAGCGAAGGGCTTGCATTTTCAAAGTCTTTGACTTCACTAGGTTATCCCCTTAATCTTGATCTCAAATACCGAGTTCGATCAAAATCCAATTTAAAATATTTAAAGATATGGAAAACTCTGTAAAAAATTTAAATAAAAAATTACTGTATTTATTAAAGAATTATGCATTATACTTGTTTTGGGTTTAATCAACCACTTTTAATCTATATAATAAATTGATTAATCTAATTTCATAGTTCGAAGAGATAACTTATTGACCAAATTTTATTTTTATTGGGAATCAAACTCTTAATAATTTGTCATTAGTGTAAATTTATTTTCCATTAAAGTCCAAATAGTTGGTCAAACATTACAATTTTAAATATACTAGTTTTTATTAAAACTTTTACTTTAAGTTTTCTTTAAAGTGTCCTTAAATATTTGGTAGCATTTTTCTAGTTTTAGAAATAATTGTTTTTCTTAACAAATTATTAGTCTACTACTTCTCCTTTTTGAATTGAATAATATTTAGATAGTTTTATTTAGTTTAAAGGGTGTATTTAAATTTATGTCTATTTATGAAATTATCTTTTATGGATAATTATTAATACTCTATTGAGTAGTGTCTCTTAGAAGTTGTAATTTATTATTTTGTAAAAAAAATTATATTTGATATAAGTGTGTTCGATTTAGTCAAAGTAGTAAAAGTAAGTTGTATTTGACAGAGTCGAATACAACATATAAATGTTATTACGAAATTAAAATATAATTTTGTATGTTTCAGACTTGAATTGTAAGTTTTAATAGTCATTACATTGTATAGTTAATACAATTAACAGTTTTAATAGCTTCACAAGTTTAAAATATAGTTATCTAATTCTCTCCTTTCTCTTTTCAATCTTCTTCCTCATCTTTCTTGAAAACCCTAATTATTTCAATAATGTCACAATTGATTTTGAACATCCCACAAATTAAGTGGAGGTTAACTGAAATATTGGTGGGTCGAGTCATGACAAGGTTGAGCACGACTCATTTCTAAGTTTAGATATTCGGGAGTATGGATGGCAATGGGCAGAGTTTGGGCAGGATACTATAGTACCCGTGCCCATACCCGCGATTTAAAAAATCTTTATACCCAAGCTCAAATCCACGTGGACACCAATGTTCATATCCGTACTCGTACCCTATGGGTACCTCAATACCCATACACGTACCCATTTATCTGTATTTGTAGTAGAATTAAATTAATTAATTACAAAATATCATATAATTTAAGTTTTTTTAACAATATTAAAAAAATTATGGGATATTATTGTTTATTTAAGAAATAAATAAACACTTTTATTAAAATGTGTAATAGTTTAATAGCGATATATTATTTAAAAATTGATAAATATGCATTTTGATATAATATAAAAATGACATTATATAAATATATAGTGCGGGTATGGGGCGCGGTGGGTAGTAAGGTACCCGTACCTGCACTCATACCCTCTTATTTTAATGGGTAATTACTTGTGCCGTACCCGTACCCATATTGTGAGTTTTTACCCTACTCGTTATGGGTATTTTTTGTGGGTATCCATAAGATATAGGCCAAATTCAAATCCATATTCGGGAGAAATATTTATGGACATTTATCACATGAAAAGTCAACATTTTCAAATACTAAAATATGTCAAGCGACCATCCAAAAAAGGGGGAACAGACGAGACCGCGTCTAGAGAATTGTAAACCGTAGCCCTAAAGAACTCCTATAAATAGAGTATCCCACAGAAGAGGGATATGGGATCCTCATTCAATTAATTGACATCCACTTATTACCATCCAATACTACTCAAAGAGCACTCCCTCCCAATAGCCACCTAAAATACCACTCTAATTGTTCACTTGCTACCTAACAACGTCGACCACCATCAGTACCACTCACTCAAGTGAGCTGGATCCCTCAATACTCTTAAAAACCATCATAAAAAGGGCTACTCGCCTTCGTGGAATAGCATTCACCCATTTTTGATAATATACCTACTAGGGCCTCTGAGTCTCTCCGTCCTTGCAGGGGAAACACGCACACACCTATACTTTTTTTTGGACATTACATAAATAATTTTAAAAAAAGTAATAAAGGATTCTGTAAAAATTAATAATGTTACATCAATAATATAAAGTCGTTTATAATTTATCATTAATATATAAAAATAATATTTAATTTGAGACCTAATAAATCATTTTATTTTCTTATATTTATTCTTTCATTATCATTTGAATTTATCAAATAGTTGACGAATATGATATCTCACATGGTTTCAGTCTATCCTCGACCTATCTCTCTTCTTAAGAGTATTGAAAGAAATGTTAGGAATTGTATTTGGAGTGGTAATGTGACTGGTAAAAATTTCATCACAGATTTACAGTTGCTTTGAGAAAAATCTGTTAGCCCAAGCACCATGGTGGTCTTGGTTTTAGGTCTTTTATTTGCCTCAACAATGCTGCTAATCTTAAGTTAGGCTGGGAAATGTTGAGTTTCGATGAGCCTTGGGTTCATATCTTCAAAGCTAAGGTCTTAAGAAGTTTTGCCCCATTAAACATCATATATTTTTTTCTATTTTGAGTGGTATCAGATATGAATTCAATTTTTTGGTGTCCAAGACTAGATGGTTGGTTAGGATTGGTCAGAACAGCAGATTTTGGAAAGATGTCTGGAATGGTCCCTCCTCATTCTTGAAGTTTCTCCTTCAATTATTGAGACTCGTTCTGTCAGCACTGACTCTTTAGTTTATGACTTCATTCAGGATGGCTTATGGAATTTTTCCTGATGATTCAACAAAGCATGATTGGGCAAAGTTCATTTGGAGCGATGATATTCAACCTTCCAAGTCTTTTGTTGTTTGGAGACTTGTTCATGCCAAGCTTCATACTGATAATCTTTTGCAACAAAGAGGATGTTACTTAGCCTCCAGATGCTCAGTCTATAAGTATGCAAATGACTCCATTAATCATGTTTTCTTTCAATTCCCTTTTGTTGTCAAGGACTAGAACTGGATTGGTAGGACAAGTCCTCTCTCCAAATCTCAATTGTTGGTGATTTGTGACATCTCTGCTCCAAGGATAAGTCTCCTCAAGGAGCTCTTATTCTTAGAGTAGTTGTGGTATATTTTATTTCCAGTATCTGGCATGTTAGGAACCAGACTACTCATCAAAACAAAGTCCCTCATTTGCAGTCGATTGTCTTCAGTATATCTGCTCAAGTTAAGATGACTGGTAACAATTCCAAGCTTGACTTCTCCAATTCTGACTTCGTCCTCATCAAGGCCTTCACCTGTAATATTAATTTTCCTAGGGCTTCTCGGAGCATTGAAGTGACTTGGCACCTTCCAATTAAGGATTAGATCAAATGTAATTGCAGAGAAGCATTTTCTTTTACTCTTAGTGGCCCACGAGGTATTTTTAGGAATTTCAAGGAGGATTTTCTTTTAGCTTTTGCATAGCCCTTAATTCATGTTTATTCTTTGAATGTTGAATTCATTGTTGGCTTAAAGCTATTGAGTTGGCAGATGATAAATGTCGGAGTAAGCTTTGGACATAGAGTGATTCTCTCTTGGTCATCCAAATTTTTTCCAATGACAACTTAATCCCTTAGCACTTGAAGGATCCGCTGAAACATTCGTAAAAAGTTATCTTTTTCTATAACTTTCACTATTTCTCATATTTATCCAGAAGAGAACACTTGTGCGAATTATTTGACTAATTTAGATTGTATTATCCCTAAATTGCTAATCATTTTTTACGTTTTTTATTTATTTGTTACGAATAATTTTGTAAAAAATAGATTAGGATTTTTTTTTTTAAATTTACTTCTCATTAAGTGGATTTTAGCCTAGTCCCTCTCTTATTTTTTCTTTCTTCAATATATAACCATGTTTAATTTTTTTTAATCAAATAGTGGTAGTTACATGATTTTCATTTTCTGTACTAGTTACATGATATTTACTCCATTTGTAATGAGAAAAAAAAAAAGAAAGTAAATTTAGTTCAAAATATAAATAAAATCTACTAACTTTCTTTGACCAAATACAGATGGAGTATAGCAGTAAAACAAACTATAAAGTAATTAATAACCTTATGTAGTGTTTAATTAATGACACTGCTAAAGCAATGAGTGCATAAGTCTGCGGTAAAAAAAATCAACCCTACCGTGAAAATGACTCCATGAAATTGTAATCTTGTGCGCCCCATTCAACACTTGCGGCCACGATTCAAGATCAATCTCCCACATAAGACCAAATAAAATCAAACCAATCCCAACGGTTCGATCAAGATTTTTTGTTTTCAACATTAATGGACTTTGTTCTTTCACGAGGGCTTATTATACTAGAACAGACACAAACCACATCCACATGTGTAATTCCAAAATCATCAAAAGGGCATAACAGTATTTTCCGACAACCATACGGTAGTAAAATCCATTTATTATGGCGCCATGTCGCTTCCACTTCTTCTCTCCTCTTTCTCCTCTCATTCATTCTTCTCTGTCGTACGACTTTCACAATAGCGCAGCATCATGAAATTGAAACCCCATTTGTCACTACAAACAAATCCTCAACCTCCCCAAAAAAGTTCTTAAAAATCCCAGGTTCTTGTTTTTTCCTTTGTTCTTATTCTTTTCTAATGGCTGGTGGTTGGGTCAAATCATTGCAATGCAAATCCAAAGCTTTTGAAGATGTTTACAACCCAAACACAAAAAACAGAATACACAACACAAGCTGTAAAATGAGTGTTCAAAACATCAAAGACGTTGTCGTTGAAACGACAAAACATAAACCTAAACCGAAACCGAAACCTAAAAAACCGCTTCAGAAACATCATAGTTCAAGATATCCAACAGCCTCCACCAAACCCGATTTCGAATCCACCATGAACCGTTCAAGTAGCACCAACGCAACCGCAATCACCACCACCAACCGCCACCACCCGGTGTCAGACCCTCGTTTCTCTTCTCTGACAGAGCTTACAGAAGGTCATCCTTCTCGCAACGTGGTGGAGATAATCTTTCACACTAGCTGGGGACCGAAACCGTTTTCGGGTCGGGTTGAGATGATTTTCAAGGTTCACAACGGTTCAAGAACGGTTTCCCGGTTCGAAGAGTATCGTGAAGCGGTAAAAGCCCGGTCTGGTTCGGTTAACTCGGATTCAGAGGATAATCATGAGGAGAATGCGCGGTGTGTTGCGGATGGGAATGAAGTGATGAGGTTTCATTGCTTGGGTCCCACTTCTGGCGGTGGTCCCTACGGTGGAGCTAGTGTGGGGTTGTTTCCAGGTGGGAAAGGTACGGCGATCTGCACATTTTCTGGCAGCAGTGGGGCGCATGAGAGCTCTGGTTGTGGTAGGGGAAGAAGGGCTATGTTGGTTTGTCGGGTCATAGCGGGTCGGGTTTCGAAGCAAACCGGGTTTATGGACTCGTTGTTGGATGGGCGAGTTGGATTCGACTCGGTGAGTGGGGACAATAGCGAGTTATTAGTTTTTGATTCGCGTGCTGTATTACCTTGTTTTCTTATCATTTATAAATTGTAAAAAAAATCTTATTTACTGTTATTACTTTTGAATTTTAATATTTGATTTTTTGTAGTTTTAGTTTTTTAGGAAAATACCTTTTTCCTGATTTATTTTTGTTTCGGATGTCTTTGTGAATGCTGATTGATTGTTTGTTTGAGTTGAGCTGTTTCAAAACAGATTTTTACCCTTGCATTTGTTTTATCAAACCATTATTACTTTATTTTAATTTGGTTTTAACCCTTTCCAGCTTTCTTTTCACCATGCTTTAATTTTATATTTCAATTTGGAAAATTCTTAGAACACTTTTAATGGGTGAAAAAAAGCTTTAAAACTTTAAAATATCCATACGAACCCTTAAAATCTATTTCAGATATGCATGTTCGAAATCCTTTTTTTTTTGTGTACGATACTAAATTTTAAATGTTGGATTTAATCATTCAGTGAAGATTTCAGATATGCACACTCGAATCCATCTTAGAGGTGTTTCAAATGTGTATATCCAAAACTCTCATTGAACCAATGAGAATGGAGGTAGAAGGCAGAATAATGGTGTGGTAAATATTTTATTAATCGTACTGAAAAATAAACACAATAGTTTAATATGTAACTTGTTTGAATTATATAGAAAAAACCTAAAACTCAAATGATACGAAATAAAGTGATTAGAAATACTGGAAATGTAATACATAAGTTGTTTATAATGTACGAAATGACAAACAATTACATCGGAAAATACAAAATAAAGCATACTCTACTGCGTATGTCTAATCCTAACCCCCTGACCCCTCTTCTTCCTACTATAACCCGCTGCACTCATTGTGTCCCTAACCATCTTCTCTGTGATGGCCACCGCCTCATCACTGCCCCTCTGAATGATCCCTTTGGTCCAAGGCCTCCTGTCCAATCAAGTGTATCATCAGACATATTGGCAAGAGATCAGTGGCATGGTCATTCTGAGCCTGTTGGTTCTCAATGATCTCCTCATGAGCTGGTCTGGGTGGACGTCCAGAAGCATCGGGTGTCATGTAGGATGTGACACTTGGAAGAGCCATGTCGCATATCCCTCTACACAATGCCAAGCGTTGGATGCCGACATCATCATATACGCCTCTGGGACCATATAAGTCTCCCAGTCCTGAAAAACGTCATCGAGATCTCGACGGATAATGCGATTGGAAGAAGCCTCAGTGGGAGATCTAGGAATGGACTGTACATATCCAAATTGTCGGATGCATCGCTCCGGAAGATACCTCACCATGATGTTGGTCCCACATGCCTGTCGACCTGAATATAACGAGATGAGGTTGAAGGGTATCATATCTTGTGATCCTCAAAAGGTCTCTACATAATGTCATCATGAGCCGCCCGATCTAGATACACCCGGAATGACGACACAATGTTATTCGCCCTCTGGAGGATATACCTAGAAGCCCTCGGCATATGTCCTCAGTATAGTAGTCCATATCATAAGCCCATCCATGGATGCGGTGAAAGTGCGAAATAATTCATCCCTGAAACACGAATAACATATATGTAAGAAAAAATTATTATTAAATTAAATGTGATAGTTGGAATGAAAATGTATCGTGAGTAGGGTGCAAGAGCCTGTAAGCTGCCCCCTCCTCCATTTACAAGCGTCATTAAGGTTTTGGTATAGGTATACCAAACAATCACCCCTACTCATTAATAGTGTTCAAATCTATAAAGTACTTGAGGAGTGTCACATCAACATATGTAGCACTTTTGTCCACAAAAATGGATGTTCCAACCAAGAACAAAAAGAAACACCTCAACGCACACTCACGATGGTACTGAACGAATAACTCATCTCCCTCGGCCTCGGCAACTGAAGCAAATACTAAGTGCTCTTCATATGTGTCGCTCAAGAAAGAGAACTTGGCATGTGCCCTTTAGTTGAGTCATGTAACGTCCGTTAATTTAATTAATTATTTTATTAAATTATTTTTGGATTATTGTTGAGAAATTGTGAGATATTGAGAACTGTTGGTATAAGTTGTTAGATTATTAATTAATTAATTAATTCGTTGATTAATAATAATAATAATAATGTTGAAATTAATAGAATAATTGTGTTGGGCTTATGTTATTGATTGGAAGTAGTAAAGTGGGTGTGTGTAAATTAAGTCCAATAGGGTTGATGATATAAGGTTATGCTGACACAAGGATTTGGCTTTTGGAGAATAAGAAGTCTTGTGCACTGACCGTGTGAAGCCACGAGAAGAGAGAAGCAAGCTTCCCGGTGTCGAGCAGAACGAAGCAAGGCTGTCGGCTGGAATTTTGGTAGAGCAACCTTCAATCCAGGTAAGGGTGGGGTTTTGACTGTATAATGGGATTTATGATGTGTATTATATGGGAATTAGTCCTTTATATGACTGTTGTGCATTGATGGTTCTGAATCTGTTATTGAAGTTGCCCGTTTCCTCATGTTGTGGTCGTTTAGGGAGTTACCGTATGATTGTTTAATGAATCTGTTATAGGAAGTTGCCCGATTTCTATGTTGTGGGCGTCTTGAGTTCTCTGTATAATTTCCCGGTATGATTGATGATTAGGTTAGTGTAGATTTTACCTGTTGATGTGGTCGTTAGGACGTTGTGATATTTTGAGCGGTTGGCAGGAAAATTAGTAAATTGTTGTTGTGGTCGTTATAGGAAAGGTTCAGCGTGACTGTCTTGTACAATTAGTGAATCTATTGAAAGTAGATATAGTTGCTCGTTGCTGTGTTATTCCGAGCAGTTGGTCGGAAATCATGGATTATGTTGTGATGGTCGTTATGTTGTTGTATTAGTCTATGTTGTTGGCCAGAATTAATGGTTGAGGAGGATGTTCATGGTGTTAGGTGCCGAGCGGCATGTAGGCTGCGAGGTGTGTCAGAGAATATATGTGTTGGATGTCGAGCGGTATTAGGCTGCAAGACATGCTAAGGAGCATAATATTGATGTCGAGCTGCACGAAGCTACAGGTTGTGCCGAGGAACATAAGTTAGTTGTTATTCTTCTTTATTTCTATGCGTGTCGAGGAGTATGAGTTAGTTATTATCGGCTTGGTTGTCGTGCATGTCGAGGGGCACACAACTTCCCTAGTCCTATTTTTTGTGTGTGTTGGTTTAGTCGTTACGGTGTGCTACATAGTTTATGCCTAAATTGAGAATTTGCAGGTTGATGAATTATGTTGAGATGCCTCTAATTTTGGCAGATATTATGTTGTAGGCTTATGGCCAAAGTTAAATCATGTTGATGTTGAATTGTTTTTGATGTTGTAGACTTATGGCCAATGTTGATTTATGTTGAGTTGTTGTTTGTTGTCGATTTTTGCTACATTCATGTTGTGTCGCATACATCGCATATCAAGTTGGAGACGATGCTCGTTAAATTGGTCTGGATTGGAAAAAAATTAAGTTGATGGCTTATGCCTTATTGATGCCTCTATTTATTGGCATATTTCTAAGTTGAGAGTTCTGCTCCGTTGGTACCACATGCATTTGCATAAAGACAAGTTGCATTTTGTGTTGCATTCTGAGTTGTTGTGTGGTTGATTTGATTATGCTTATGTTGTTAAAATATGAGAAGTTGTGAATATGTATGAACTGATTCTAATGTTTTATTTATCATACGTTCTATTATATTGTTCGATATCTCACCCTTTTGTTTGACTGTTACCCCTATGTTGGTAACGTGCAGGTAGTCCATAGTGAAGGTAGTTTAACTTAGATAGTTCGAGTCGGTGTTATTGCTCTGATACGTAACACTCAGGGGATGAACGCTTACTGTTTTATTGTTACGATTCAGTTGTTGCACTTTAATTTGTCGTTCGTTAAATAACTGTTATTTGAAGTTGTTTTAGTTGGATAAAGATGTTATATTCTTTACGTTGAATATTTGATTCTGCTGCGTGGTTATGAAATTTGTTGGTTTTAAAAGATTAATTTATGTTGTTGTTGGTTTATCCAAGTTTAATGTGTTATGTATCTGTAATGAATGCCGTTGTTTTAAAGTTGAATTTGTAGCATCCTGATTCGGTTATTGAATTTTTGTATCTCTGATTTTATATAATTGTTGGGTAGAGTTGGGGTGTTACAAAGTTGGTATCAGAGCAAGTCGGTTCGTCCGACCAAGTTGTCAAGTCGTAGGTTGTCTAACAATCGAGTATTGTTAACTTGAGTTCTAACCGTTGTTTGTGTTGTAGTGATAAGTTGAGATGGCTGGAAGGAATGATGTTGCACTTGCTGCTGCTTTAGAAGCAATGGAGCATGCTATGGAGAATCATATGAACACTAACGAGAATGCTGGATCTTGTAGTTTGACGATCTTCTAGAGGGAGAATCCGCCTACGTTCAAGGGTAAGTATGGTCCTGATGGAGCGTTGGATTGGTTGAAAGAGATTGAAAGAATCTTCCGTGTGATGGACTGCACTCCAACGCAGAAGGTTCGGTATGGTACTCACATGCTAGCAGTCGAAGCTGATGACTGGTGGCTAGAGACATGTCAGAGGTTGGAAGCCGCAGGTGAGAATGTCACTTGGGTTGTGTTTCATAGGGAATTTCTGAGGAAGTATTTCCCTGAAGACGTTCATGGTAAGAAGGAAATTGAATTTCTTGAGCTGAAGCAAGGGAGTATGTCAGTTGTTGAATATGCTGCAAAGTTTGCAGAGTTGGCTAAGTTTTATCCGCACTATAGTGAGGCTAATGTTGAGTTTTCGAGGTGCATCAAGTTTGAGAGCGGGTTGCGCCCAGAGATCAAGAAGGCAATTGGATACCAGCAGATTCGTGTATTTGCTGATTTGGTTGATAGTTGCAAGATCTATGAAAAGGATAATAACGCTCACTATAAGATTATCAATGAGAAGAGGGGTAAGCACCAACAGAACCGTGGTAAGCCTTACGATTCCCCAACTGGTAAAGGTAAATAGAAAGTTGTTCAGGGTTAGAGAACTAGTGGGGAAGATGCTCCTGCTGGTGTGGTTTGTTTCAAATATGGAAAACCTGGTCATAAGAGCAACGT